CGGGCCCCTGTGCGGCTCTCTGCCTGGACTGTGGTGACAGCGGCCGCTGGCGTCGTTAGCCCTGCCACAGCGGCTCCCGGGTAACCCGGGTCGGAAAGCCCTGGCTAATAGGGCCTTAATCAGGCTGGTGGGGGCCCCGGTGGCTTCTCAGGGCAGGGGCCAGGGCCCAGGTGCAGCAGCCACATCTTAATGAAAACGCCGGAGGGCCGGGAGGAGGCGTGGGTGGCCACCTGCTCCCAGTCAGGCCCGTCCTGGTCCTTCCTGGCTGTCACCGGAGGCTCTGGGTGCAGGGGACAACCAGCCTGCCTGTTCTCCCATCCGTCCGTCCGTCCGTCCGTCCGTCCTTCCTCCTGCCACCAGCCGCTCTCTGCCCCTCCCGTACGTCGGTACCCAGGTCCTCCCTGTGAGGGGCTCACGTTCTTAACACGACACCGATAAACAGCGACCAGTGCCACGGCCCGGAGGAGCCGCAGAGCTGCCCTGGCCATGCCCCCAGGTCACCGTGGGCCGTCACCTCCCCTCTGGCCTGTGGCTCCAGGTCTGCATGAAAGAAGGCTGCTACAACAGACCTTAGACCGCGTAACTCATAAGCCGCAGAAACGTTTGTTCTCAGACAAGATCTCGCTTTGTCATTCAGGCTGGGGTTGAATTCCTGGTGATCCTCCTGCCTCAGCCTGCAGAGTGCTGAGGTTTCAGCCATGCGCTGCCACACCTGGTTTAAACCATAGAAATTTAGCTGAGGATTTAGCTCAGTGGTGCCGCTGCCTGCCTTCCAAGTGCCAGGTCCTGAGTTCAACCCCAGACTGAACCATAGAAATTTAGCGTGCATTGTTCTGGAGGCTGGGTAGTCCAAGGTCAAGGTGCCAGTGGATTCCGTGGCTGGGGAGGGAAGGCCTGGCTCTCTGGTGGGTGGGGCCCTGATCCCCAGTGCAAAGCTGGGGCCCCACAGCCTTGTCAGCTCTCGGTACTATGACGTTGCAGATAATGTTTCAACATCCGGGTTTTGGGGGGTGTGCTCAGGTCCTAGCACAGGAGTGACCAGGACCCTGCCAGGTGTGGGGCAGATGCTAGGTAAGACCAGGTGCTGCAGTATGGGAGGGCGGTGAGCAGTGGCCGACTCTGCAGCAGGTACAGGCCTTAAGGATTCCAAGGTTGCCCCTAGACTTCACAGATAGAGTGCTGCAATCGATTAGTCAGGTCTGCCTGGGCACAGGGAGGGAGCCCAGCCTGGGGCGTCTGCTGGCCCGAACCCAGAGGAGAGGAAGCCCTGGCCCAGGACTGGGGGACCATGGTGTTGACCCCTGCCTGCCTTGTTTTACCCTGCAAGGCAGAGATGCTGATGTGGGATTTGCTGAATTGTGAAGTCAGAAGGAGCTGGAGCGAAATGGCCCAGTTTTTAGCCAGGCATGGTGATGCTTGCCTATAATTCCAGCACTCTGGGAGGCTGAGGCAGGAGGATTGCTAAATTGCCTGGGCAACTTAGTGGGACCATCTCAAAAGAAATAAATCACTAGGGATGTAGCTCAGTGTGAAGGCCCTGGGTTTCATCCCCAAAACTGAAAGAAAGAAAAGAAGCGAGGGAGGGAGAGTTCGGGGAGAAAGGAAAGCCACCCCATGTTCTTGGGTATTTTCCTCCTTTGCCACACCGCTCCATGTGGAGAAGCCAGGGGACAAGGAGAGCCGTGGAGCAGGCAGGTGGGGCCCTGGCACCCAGAACCATGGCCTAGGACGGAAGAGTCAGGCCAAAGCCCAGCGTTCACAGGCAGCTCCCTCCCTGGAGACACCCCAGGACCTGCTGTCGACCCTCTCCCACCAAGTCTCCCAAGAAAATGCTTGGGGCCAACCATGGGCTTGGTGGGGTTTTGGGTGCCAGAAAATCCCTTAGGGCTCCGCTGCCCAGCAGGGACACAAAACACCTCCCAGCGTCCTGGTCTGGCCTTTGTGCACTGTGTGACCACAGCGAGTGGCTGGGCCTCTCTGAGCCTGGTGCTGCTAGGCAGAAGGACAGCAGTGCTGGGCTCTGGGCAGTGAGCAGGGGCCTGGTTGAGGTCCGGCTGCGTCCTGGGCAGACGCAGTGGTGTCTTTTGCTATGGAAGGGTCCTGGGGTCGCTGGGGGGATCCAAGCCACCCCAGGGGCTGGGACTTAGGAGGGACTTTTGGCTCTGAGCCTGGGGCTGCTCACCTGCAGTGTGGGGACAGCACCACCTCCCCGCAAGGCTGTTGGAGGGGTTCAGTGAGGACAAGACTTGGGGGGAACTGGGCAGGGTGAGGTCTCGGGTCAGGGTGCACTTTCCAGGCAACGGTTCCCTGGCAGCTCTGAAAATTAATTGGCCTTTTAAGGTGGCATAGTGTTTATTTTAATTAGCAGGAAATTGAACAATTTTGTAGTAAGGAGCTCTGTGCAGGATCTGAATTAGGGGTTTGTCAGTGTGTGTGTGTGTGTGTGTGTGTGTGTGTGTGTGTGTGTGTGTGTGTGTGTTGGGGTGATCCAGAAAGGACGACATCCACATCCTTTTCCTTTTCTCTCTTTCTTTCTCTCTCTCTTTGAGACAGGGCTCCCTCCCTAGTCGAGGTTGAGCTCCAGCTTGTGGCAGCCCTTTGGTCTCGGCCTCCCAAGTGCTGGGATCACCACGTGGTTCAAAAGCTGGGCACCCAAGTCATGAAGTGGGTGTCATTGTGAGGAAACTGAGGCACAGAGGAGACGGGTTGAGCAAGTGAGCCTCTCCCGAGGGCCTGGCACAGCGCTCAGTGCAACTTGTTCATTGATAAATGTGAGACTCCGCCTTCTCCCCAGCCCACCCTCCTGCATTTAAAAGCTCAGTTCATGCGGTCACGGTGGTGCACGCCCGTAATCCCAACAATGGGGAAGCTGAGGCAGGAGGATCACTGGGAGTTCGAGGCCAGCCTGAACTGCATTGCCAGACTCTGCCTCATAAACCAAAACAGCGGCCAGGGATTTAGCTCAGTGATTCTGCCACCTGCCTTGCAAGTGCAATGACCCGAGTTCGATCCCTGGCACCAAAAATAAATAAATAAAAACAGACTGAAAAGCCCAGCTAACCCCAGGCTCTGCTCCAGACCCAGGGTCCAGCCCGAAGCAACAGGCCTGTCCAGAGCCAGGAGTCCCTTACTCTGCCTGGCCCCTCAGAGCCGGGGTGGACAGGACACTCAGCAAGCAAGGTCAGGGCTGGGCCAGGGCTGCGGGCCGCATCCTGGGGCTCCCACCTGCGGGACTCGCTGTACAGAGCGCCTGCTGTGAGGGAGAGACAGCGCCAGTCCCCAGGCAGCCCGAGTTGGGAGAGGGTGGTGGGAGGGGAGGGGCAGGGAGGGGAGCTGGCCTTAAACCAGTGACAAGAAATAAAAGCATCCTTGCTGCATGGGCGCGGGAGGGGCGCTGTGCTGGAAACTGCAGCTGGAGTCAGGACTTTCTCCTGGGGACGGTGGGAGCCATGGAAGGCTCTGCCGAGGGAGCAGATGGGAAAGAGAAAGGAGAGCCTGGGCTGGTCCTAGGGGAAGGTCCAGCTGCTGGTGGCCACAGCCCCAGCAGAGAGGAGGGAGGGACACGCCGTCCGCAGCCATCGGCGCCAGGCCTGGCCTCCTATCCTCCATCCCTGGCTCATCTGGGACATAGAATGTTCTAGGACCTTGGTGATATCCCGCAGGTTCAAGTCCTCCCGGCCTCCCATCCTGGCCCTCACCTTCCCCCCCTGGACCTCGCGCTAAAGCTCACAGGGTGGGGGGCAGAGGCTGTTTCTCCGGACCGCCGGCTTGTGTCCCCAGAACAGTCCCTCTCCTGACCCCCACACGGGGCAGCGACTCTGGGGCAGGGACCATGGGGTCCTGCACGGTGACCCCATGGGTGGGAGCTGGGGGCCAAGGCTTGCTTGTTCCTCAGGGGGGACCCTCCACCCTCAGACCCCTGGATCTGCCTTGTCCCTGGACTGGAGGCTGGGCAGGGACCCAGCTGGGCTCTGTGTCTGGGCCTTGTAGAAGATGAAGGGGGAGAGAGAGAGAGAGAGCACTCAGCGCGCAGGAAACCTAATTGTCCTCTGTCTAATCCGTCAGCGGGGACAGCTCGCCTGGCCCCTCCTGGCCAGCTGATAAATGCCCCCTGCGCCAGCACAGCCTTAATTGGTATCAGGATTGCCAGGCCTCCGTCCCCGGCCCTGCCCTCCTCCTCCTCCTCCTCGGGGCCCCAGCTTCTGCAGGGCTCACCTGCCACCCCCCCAGGAGGGCGGGAGAGCAGGGAGGAGCCCGCCGTGCGGTGGCACCGGCCCTGTGCTGGGCCTCCCCTTCCCGTCCTCACCCACGGGGGCACCTGGGCCGCCTGTGCCCTCCTGTGACCAGGGAGCCCTCTGCGGCAACCTGCCCAGGGTCACAGCTAGAAAGGGGGAGAGGGGCGAGGGGACCTCAGTCGTGGCCACACGTGAGACCGAGGCTTCAGACCCTTTGGGGAGCGAGTGAGAAACTCAGATCCACACACAGCCAGACCCCGAATCCAGGCCTAGGGGTCCAAGGGCGGCCATGAATACCAAGCTGTCATCTGCCCCTGGGGTGACCAGAAGCTCCCGGAGCCCCCAGGTAGCTCAGAGGGTGGCAAAATTCATGTGGAGGCCACACCTGACCTCGGCCAACGAGGTTTGGATGGTTTCTATTTCTTGTATTGTTTTTTGAAACAGGCTCTCAATATCCAGTCCAGGCTGACCTCCAACTGGCAGCGATCCTCCCGCCTCAGCCTCCCAGAGTGCCGGATTACAGGGACACACCGCCACAGCCGGCTCCCTCCCTTCCCAGCTTGGGGAGGAACCCAGGGCCTCATTCGGGCAAGGCAGTGCTTTGCTGCCTGCCTCCACCCCCAGCCCCCACAGCCTCTTTCACGAAAACAGAAAATATCTTTTTTTTGTTTTTTTGGTACCGGGGATCGAGCTCAGGTCCTTGCACTTGGGAGGCAGGCAGCTGCACCACTGAGCTAAATCCCCGGCCTGAAAATATCTTTATTGATTAGAAATAGAACACACTGTAAAAAAATCAAGTCAATAATAATAACAGCAGGAAAGGAAAGTCACAGTAACCTGAAAGTCGCGCCCTCCTGGCCTTCCCAGCCCTGCTGCCTTCCTTGCCGCAGAGCAGGGACACAGCCCAGGGTTTGCCGCTGCTCCCTGAGCTCAGGCTGTCGGCAGGAGTACGGCAGGTTCAAGTGCTGCCTGGCAATTTAGCAACTTAGAACTTGTCTCATAATGAAAGATAAAAAAGACTGGGGTGCAGCTCAGCGTGAAGGGTTAGGGGTCAACCCCTAGTACTGTGCGTGCACACACGCACACGCGCGCGCACACACACACACACACACACACACACGCGGGCGCGCGCCCATACGCTCCTCTTCCACAGCCTCATGGCCTCAGGGCCCCCTCTCCTGCCCATCCCCACCCCCCACAGCCCGATTTGCACGGCCTTGGGGCCTTGATGAGTTCCCTGCCTGCTCTGCCCTACTTCGGGCTCTGATTGCAAAGTGGCCTTCAGAAAGCAAACAAACCCCAGGGCCTTAGGCTCGGGGACCCAGCTGGCCCAGATGCTGGGCCTTTTGCAAGGACTCTGCTGCTTCTCTGCCCTGCAGCCCAGAGCCATCCTTGGTACCAATGCTTCTTTTTTTCGTCCCTTTCTTTATTTTTTAATTTCACCTGTAATTTTCAATGTAATTCTATCAGTTAATAATGGTTGCTCTTTCCTCTCCCCCCCTTTTCTATTGGTACATTTTAGGTATACGATGCAGTTACACTCATAACTGGGATATTGTACCAGTGTTTTGTTTTTCGAGACAGGGTCTTGCTATGTATCTCAGGCTGGCCTTGAACTCACGGCGATCCTCCTGCCTCAGCCTCCCCAGTGCTGGGATCACTGGTGTGAGCCACTACACTCAGCTTTGGTGCTGCTGCTGAGGGGCTGCACCCTCCTCACGCCGGACATGAAGCCTCCTGGTGCAGTTTGCAGGGGGCCACACCATCTCCATTCAGAAGGAAAAGGATTCAGGGAGGCCACCCGTCTCTGGCCAGCCGATGCTGACACGAACACACCCTGCTGTTCTGTGGAAAGTGGGCTGGGCCTCTGCGGAGGACAGTGGATCCGGCACCCTCTGCTCTTCCTGCCCTGGGACCCACTGAGGGGGTGACCGGAGATCCGGCTGGGCTCCCTGCCTCCCACCCTCCGTGTCACCTGCCGTCCACCCTGTAGGCCTCACCTCCTCTTCTGGGCCACGAGGCCTGCAGTGCTGCGGGCGCAGGGCGCTGCCTCATCTCCCCGGGCCTGGACTCTCTCGGGTCAGCTCCTGCTCTGCCAGGTGAGTGAGCTGAGGGATGGACGTCGTCTTAGGAGGAAGGGACAGTCTGTCCCCAAAGAGAACGTCAGGTGGCCTCACCTCGTCCCAGCCTAGCATCAGGCCCCGGCTCAAGAGGATGGCAGGGGTATCTGGTCTGGGGCACTGTAGCAGTCAGGACCCGGCAGATATTTTATACAAACCGATGAATTTTCACCCATCTTCGCACTGCAATCTGCAAGGCTCAAACCTTGCAGGTCTTGTAGGTTTCCAGAGTGACAATTCCATGATACCTCACCTTGGGCTACAAACAGCAGAAAAATCAAGACACAGCAAGTAAGTGTCTTCCTACAAGTGCTCAACATCAAGCGAGATTTGGCTGCCTTGGTACAAGAGTTCCTGAGGCCCCAGGGACCCCAACTTTGTGTTCCACAGTCTTAGCCGCTAGCTTTTGTCCTCATAGTGCTAAAACAGCTGCCTCTATATTGCCATCACATCCATACTCCAGGCAGGAAGAAGGGCTGGGTAAAGTGAATTATACTTTCCTTGAAATCTTTGCCTTTTATTTCAGGAAGCAAAACCTTCCTGAGGGATCTTCTGCTTTTATTTCATTGGCCAAATTCCCACTTTAGCTGCAAGGGAAGCTGGGAAATTGAGTTTTTCTTGAATTCTATGATAGAGGGAGGCAGGATGTAAACTAAAATGTTGCTTTTGTTTACTAGAAATGCAAATTTATCTTGCTGTCCTGTATTTTTGTTAAACCTGGCCACCCAACCTCCAGAGCTTCTGTGTAAGGACGAGGACTCCTGGGAGAATAGGTGGGGACTGAAAACACCGCTGCACGGCCGTGGGAGTCCCTTCACTCTGGGCTCCAGCGTCTCCACTCCCAGAGGTCACTGATGCAGCCTGCGTCAGCTTTGCCGGAAGACTCGCCACCCGGAACGGAACTGCTGCATCACGAATGCTGCCCTCAGGTCCGAGCTTTGCAGAGTGGAAACGGATGTGTTTCTAGGTCAGTGGGGCTGGACGCCAGGCACTTGTGTTGGGCTCTCACCCATCATTTTGCACCTCTGGGACACACACCAGCCCCGGTGCAGGTAGAGCACGTAGTTAGCGTTGCGGGGCCTGGGTCTGCCCCAGCACCAAAAATAAACCAATAAACTGAGTGTGGTGGGTACACTGTCAGCCCAGCACTCTGGGAGGCCGAGGCAGGAGGGTCCCAAGTTCAAGCCCAGCCTGGGCAACTTAATGGTTTAGCCAGACCCTGTCTCAGGCTTAAAATTAAAAAGGACTGGAGATGGAGCTCAGAGCAAAGCCTGGGTGGGTCCCCACCACTGCAAACGAACACAACAACCGCTGAGTCCAGTGGTTCCGGATCTCCATGGCGCCCCCTCCGGAGGTTCCCGGGAAGGCTGCCCCCACCTTCCAGCGACACGCAGCCAGGAGGTTTTGCTTCCCACCCCACCCCACGCTGCCCGGGGTTGCAGAGCCCCCGACGGGCACGTGGTGGGCACCACCTGTCCCTCGGCGGGGAGGTGGCCCTCGGGGGCCCG